CAGATATTTACATTACAATTCCTAACAGTATCAAAATTACAGTTATGAAGTAGCAACGAAAATAACGTTATGGTTGGGGGTCACCATAACATGAGGACCTGTACTAAGGGGTCGCGGCATTAGGAAGGTTGAGAACCACTGAACTAGAAGCATTAATTAGTTAGACTATGTAATACAATGTTTGTTCCTGGGTTATATATGTTATTTTCTAATTGGTTCTATCATAAAAACATGGAACAAGGTTATTAAACTGCAAAACAAACAAACAAACAAAAAAACAAAACAAAAAAGGATTCCCCCCCCCAAGCAGCAACCAGCCTGGCTTTGATGCTGCAAGGACATTAAATGCAAATCAAGGTGGCCAATTGCAACATTTGCACTTGCCTCCAACAATCATGACATTCCACAGATATATAAACCTGGGCTGAGAATTGCGGTATATAAGAGCAATAAATAAATAAATAAATAAATAAATAAACCTCAATTGCCTAGTTTCCAACAGACCTCACAACCTCTGAGAATACTTGCTGTAGATGTGGACAAAATGTCAGGATAGAATGCTTCTGGAACATAGCCAAACAGCCTGGAAAACTCACAGCAACCCAGTGATTCTGGCCATGAAAGCCTTCGACAATGCATTGCAAAATCTTTGTTTTTATGGGACATCCTGCAGCACTTTATTCGATGGTTTTTCAATCAATATCTCATCAAGTTTCAACCAATTCAACATTGTGGCAGCCACAAAAAGGAAGTTTGTTACATAGTGTTGCAGTCCACTGGCCAAAAACCCCATTGAAGCTGCGGTGTGTGGCTCATATGAACTCCCCAGTGCTCATTTTCCCCATCGTCGATCAAGAAAATGATAGGGATTTAAATCCGACATGGACTGACAACAGTGCCTTCTGCATCACTTGGGAAGATTCTCTTGAGTACCTTCACACATTTTGCCCTCTGTGCCATTTCACAGCGTTGCCATCTTCCTAAGAGCCCTGCTGCTTTGCCAGGGGGAATGCAGGCCATATGGTCTCCTTCATTATTGATGCCCCAAATCCCCTGCTTTTGTGGAGAGCCACAGCCCATCTGCCACAAGTAAGCTTGTGTTGACTCGCTGATTATCTGTTCTCTCTCTACCCGGGTAAACATATGATCTAAGGCCATTCAACCAGTCCGCATATGATACCAAATGAGAGACTCCCCCTGGGCACACAGAAAACTGGGCGACTTGGAAGGTGCTGAACAGACTGCACTCTGGCACCACGAGATTCAGAGCCAACCTTAAGAAATGGGGCTACAAAGTGGAATCCACAACATGTGAGTGTGGAAAAGAGCAAACTACAGACCACCTGCTGCAATGCAACCTGAGCCCTGCTACATGCGCAATGGAGGACCTTCTTATAGTAACATCAGAGGCACTCCAAGTGGCCAGCTACTGGTCAAAGGACATCAAATCAACCACCAAGCTTGCAAACTTTGTGTTTTGTTTGTTTGTTAAAAATGCAATACAACTGTTTGGTTTGCTCCTGACACAATAAATAAACAAGCATCATTTATGGAATCCATTCATTCCCACAGGTCTGGCAATCATTAGATTTGCAAAACGCCTCTGGACAGGCTCAACAAGCTCAGGAAATTAGCTGTAATCGGAGGGATCCAAATCCGCACCTAGTCCTCGTCCTACTACACATCTGTCGTGCCTCCTCTGCACTTTCCCACTTCTTTATTGGATGCACGTTCCTTTGTAGCTTCTTCTGCCCTTTCTCTCTCACACACATCAAAGCAACAACCCAAAAAATGTGAACAGACTCATAGAATAGGAAAAGACCTCAAGGACCATCTTGTTCAACGCCAGTTCTTTCTCCCAACTTGGACATTCCATGGATATATATTGCCTAGTTTCCAATAGACCTCACAACCTCGGAGGATGCCTGTCATAGATGTGGGAGAAACATCAGGAGAGAATGCTTCTGGAACATGGCCATACACTCAGAAAACAGGGGAATTCCAAACAAGAAACAAACAGTGCCAGCTAACACCTCCCAACAAAGGATGCCTCCAGGCAAGAAGCACTCAGACTTTGAAGCTGCAAAGCCATTCAATGCTTATTAAAATGGCCAATTGCAACATTCACACTTGTCTCATACAGACAAGAGTTTTTTTCCCACCCTGGACATTCCACAGATATATATACCCCACTTGCCTAGTTTCCAACAGACCTCACAACCTCTGAGGATGCCTGCCATAGATGTGGGTGAAACATCAGGAGAGAATGCTTCTGGAGCATGTCCATACAGCTCAGAAAGCTCACAGCAACCTAGTGGTTCTGACCATGAAAACTTTTGACAACACAACCCCATTTTGCCTTGCAGGAAAGCACAATCAAATAATTCCTGACAGATGGACATTCAGCCTCTGCTTGAAAACCTCCAGAGACTCCATCACACTCCAAGGCAGCTTTATTATCAGGAAATTCTTCCTAATGTTTAAGTGGAATTTCTCTTCCTACTGTTTGAGTCCTGTACAGTAACACTTGAGTCTATTTCATTCCTTGGTAGCTATTCTGAAATGTATTAGCAATACAGAAAATTATGCAAAACAGTGCGTGGCTGCAACAATATAATGGTTCATTTCACTGTGCAATATTGTAAATCTTCACCTGAAGTATTGGAATGGGTTTGATAGACTGGAGAGTAATTTTCCCAGAGCAACAAGGCATTTATTTAAGCAGTGCATCTTCATTATCATTGCACCTTGTCCTCCGCACCAAGTCACATTTCCAGATAAACCTGGAGTTTTGGTGGGTGCTTTCTTTGATTTGAATTCCATACCGTGCTGTCAGCACATACAATGGTATGCATATCTACATACATGATGTATACTTGCATGATTAGTTGGAAGATTGTCCTGGCCAGGAAGATGCCAGCAAGGATGCTTTCTGAATGAATCCACTTTAAATCCGGTTGTTGCCTCCTGGGGTTTGTAGTCTAGGGAGGAGCCTTTAACAGCCTCACTAAACTACAAACCCCAGAATTCTGCAGGAGGCAGAAACCGGATTTAAAGTGGATTCATTCTCTAGTGTGATGAAGTAGTTGTGGATGCATTTACACTTTTGGATTAATGCAGTTTGACACTGCAATGGCTCAATGCTATGGAAGCCTGGGAGTCGTAGTTTGGTGTGGCACTTACACTTTTTGGCAGAGAAAACTGCAACTTCCATAATCATGGAATCATAGAGTTGAAAGAGATTCATGGGTCATCCAGCCCAACCCCTGCCAAGAAGCAGGAAAAATTCATAACTCCATAGCACTGAACCACGACAGTTCAAGTGGTATCCAAGTGCATTAATTCTACAGTGTAGATGCAAGCTAAAAGAGCCACATCTTTCTAAATCCATAGTTTGGCATCAAAACAATTTAAATTCATTCTTTAATCATGCTGGATTTTGCAGCGTGATTTCATTATAATATTCTAACATACTGCCATTTTTTTCATATTACGTACATTTGAGTGTGGAATCATAAAATCAGAGAGTTGAAGGAGACTTTGTGGACCATCCAGTCCAACCCCCTGCCAAGAAACAGAAACATCGCATTCAAAGCACCCCCGACAGATGGTCATCCAACCTCAGTTTAAAAGCCACCAAAGAAGGAGCCTGCACCACACTCCTGGGCAGAGAGTTCCACTGCTGAACAGCTCTCACAGTTAGGAAGTTCTTTCTAATGGTCAGTTGGATTCTCCTTTCCTGTAGTTTGTTCCACGTCCTAGTCTCACTTTAGCTGAAAACCTTCAGCTAGAAAAACTCACTTTAGCTGAAAACCTTCATGTTTTCCACTAAATTGATCACCTCTTCTCAAAAAGGGGCTGTAGGCTAGATTTCAGCAGAAGGAACAGACAAAAAAACCCCTCTGAGTATTTCTTAATTAAAAAAAAGATATGTTGACAGGTGAATTGAATGTACAGGCATGGAGGCGTGCTCATGCACGCATGCACACACAAACATACACATACATCTTAACATACACAGATTAAAAAATATTCCCTAGAAATGTGCTAAAGGCATAATATTCTGTCTGAGTTTGGGAGCTAAGCAGGGTCAACCTTAGCTTGTTCATGGATGGGAAAATATCAGTGAACATCTTGTGAAATAATCTCTCTCTTTTTCCTTTTGGCAAGAATGTGCAAAATCTGGCAGGCATCTGGGAGAACAACAATGCAAACTAGAAAACAAAAAGGGAGGATGTTGCAGCGCAAATCTGCGTTTGCAATCAAGTCAGATTCATTACCAATGCAAAGCGACTGCTTACACCAGACTCCTATATAATAAAAACATCAGCAAGCGCTGCATAAACACAGATATAAATTGTGCTTGAAAATTTCTCATGTGCATGCAAAAGAGGCAAAAGCACGAGTTTGTAACACGTTGTTGTTAATTACTATCCAGTCGGCTTTGACGTAGACCAACCCTCCAAATTAGTATGGGGTATAGTATTAATTAGGCCTATTTTTAATAGGAACCCTCAAGCAACCAGAAACTACATTTATCCAGCATCTACTAATCCCCATGGGTCCTTGTTAATTGAGAGTCCACTGTACATTGAAAGAGCTGCTGCTAGTGTAAGGTAAAGGTAAAGGTTTCCCCCTGACATTAAGTCTAGTCATGTCTGACTTTGAGGGTTGGTGCTCATCTCCATTTCTAAGCCGAAGAGTCGGCGTTATCCATAGACACCTCCAAGGTCATGTAGCCAGCATGAGTGCATGGAGCTGTTGTTAGTGATCAAGCTCAAATATCCTGGGATTGTTTGTGGTTATTCAACGTGGGAGGCAGTCTGTACATGTTTAACGATACCTTCTTTATTATTACTTAACCTGAACATGATGAGTCTGGTTGATCAGAGCACCTTGAGTCCCACATCACTCCCTCTTTTAAAGGCAAATCACGTGTTACAGTTGATAGATCAATCACTAACTTTGCCTTTCTTTCAAATTGCCCCTTAAGTGGTTACCTTTTCCTTCTGAAGGCTGGCAGCCGGGGTCCACCATCCACGTCGCCTCCTGAGCTTCGGTGCAAGGGGCACCTCTGCTGTCTTGGCATTGAGGTGCTGCGTGATCTTGACCTCCACGGCCAGCTTGACGTTGGTCCGGAGGTTCTTCCTCTCGAAAACCTTCTTGCACTGAGGACAAGATATCACTCTCCCAGATGCAGTGGCTTCATCCCAATAGCGAGTGATACAGGCTCTGCAGTAGCTGTGGTCACAGTCCAGGATAACTGGGTCTTTGAAGTGTCCCCGGCAGGCTGGGCAAGTGGCCGCCCGCTGCAGCTCAGCCACCAACCCTTTGCCTTCCATGGTCTGTGTATGCGCCAGATGCTGCATGCTCTGCTTTGACAGCCAGCTAAACCTAGTCACTTCTTTTCTTATAGGAGGGAGGTGCAAGGGAGGAGCATCCTTGCAACCACAGGTAAACAAGACTTGCATAACCAGCCAGTTTTTCCACTCTGGAGGACTTGGCTTCTCGTACCAAAATATGGCAGGAACTGCCTCTGGGTGGTCGATGGGTTTTGTTCTGGTTTGCTTTTTGGAAAGTTTGTGTGTAGCCTGATAACTTACAGTTGTGATGGAGGAGGATGTTAGAGGATGGGCAAGCAGGTGTTGGGGCTTTTTCCCCATATTGTGGAAGGAATCAGGATTTCCAGTGTCATTCCTCTTCTTGAGATTTGTAGAGTTGCTGTACACCAAAAATGTGTCCAAGGAAGGAGCGAGGAATGAGTTGTTGTGGGATTCTCTCCCACACCACTTCCCTGACTGGGGCTGATGGGAGTTAGAGTCCAACAAGATCTGGGTGGTTGACTTGCAAGTTCTGGGCCAAAACCTGAGTCCAGACATCTCCCTTGCTGATATCACAAAGTGTTATACATTAACTACCAGAGCCTATTATTCAAACACACTTCATCACACTAGAGAAAAAATCCACTTAAAATCCGGTTTCTGCCACCTGCAGAATTCTGGGATTTGTAGTTTGGTGAGGCTGTCAAATGCCCCTCCCTAAACTACAAACCCCAGAATTATGCAGGAGGAAGAAAGTGGATTTTAAGTGGATTTTTTCTCTAGTGTGATGAGGCTACCATGATGAGGTCCTATAAATACACACTGAAGACGTTATCACACATTACTGTTGTTTTGTCCTGCTTTAGATGCTAAGACATGGAGCAATGAATTCAAATTACAGGAAAAGAAATTCCAGTTAAACATTAGGAAGAACCTACTGATGGCAAGAGCTGTTCAGAAGTGGAATATGCTGGATATGTGTGGTGGAGTCTCCTTCTCTGGTGGTTTTTAAGTTGCGCCTGGATAGCCATCTGTCAGAAGTGCTTTGATTTTGTATTGCTGCATGGCAAATTGAGGTTAGACTGGATGACCTTTTTGGTCTCTTCCAAATCTATGGGTCTATTTCCCATAACATGGGGTAGATAAATACAACTTAATGTTGTGATATGCAGCTTTCCCCAGCTGATGGCATTATGTATTTGTGAAGTTTTGACTGTGTAAAGTGACTTTCGAGTGAGTGGCGGAGTTCTGCTTCTCAGCTGTGCCACTTCTCCTCTGTTTACTATCATCATCACCATCATAATTTCTGTAGGCACTTCATAATGGCAAAGTGTTGGGTGAAAGGAATATGGGCAAGGCCGTAGCCAGAAAAAAAATTCAGTGAGTGTTGAAAATTTCGGGGGGGGGGGGGGGGTTAGGGTCACGCTGAAGCAAAGAGCACAGCAGGGGGCAGAGCAGCCTTTAATAGCCTGCAGCTCCGCCCCTGTCAACCACCTCCACCAAGTCTGGCCTCCTTAATGAGAGCATTCAACACCCCCCCCCCCAACTTGGTTGCTTCACTACATGGCTATTGCTGCAAGTAATGACAGTGTGAATAAATTGTCAATATTTGCTTGAGATAGTGCTTGCAGTTCTGGAGGGACTCTTAATTTTTGCATCTCATAGACTTAGCATGAGGATTTGGTTAACCAGTTAAAATTCATGGGTAAACCAGGTTTTTTAAAAAATCTGAAACATTTCGGGGGGGGTTGAACCCCTAAACCCCCCCCCTCGCTACAGGCCCGAGCACTACTATGGTGTTTAGTAGGTTTTTTCGGGATATATGGCCATGTTCTAGAGCATTCTCTCATGCTTGCATCTATGACAAGCATCCATAGATGCAGGTGAAACATCAGGAGAGAATGCCTCTAGAACATGGCCATATAGCCCGAAAAAATCTACAACAACCCAGTGATTCCAGCCATGAAAGCCTTTGACAATACAAAGAGGAATATGATAGACGCCAGCACAGAAGCACCTGGATTCACCTCACAAGGTAAGTCTTGGGATCATGTCGTGATCTGGAGCAATTGCAGTCATACCAGTTTGTCACCTCTATGCTATCAAGTCCACAACACATATTTTCCAGCTTGGAAATTAACACTGAGCTAAAAGGGCTATTTCACAATGAAGATGACATAGAAGGAATATTTTTTCTGTTATTTATGGAGATGGGATAAGTATCTTGAATTTAGCTGTCTTGTTTCTAGTCTGAAGGTGGCTGCAGAGAAGACTGGAGGGTGAAGCCTGAAACCACAACAACAGCAAAGAAAGAGGAAAATTACACAAATACATGACTCTCCCCTCCCAGGAAAGTCTTTGCAAGCTGCCTTGCAAAAGTTGTAGTATAGCTGTCTACTAGATGAGTTGGAGATTTATACTGTCTCTTCCTCTTGAGGATTTGATTATTCACTGATTAGATTTAAAATATTCTCTCTAGGAATCTCTGGGTACTTCAGGGTGACTCTCTAATCAGCTTCCCACTGTCATGCTAGAGATTATTAAAGGGCAAACCTCTCTAGGAATTTCTAGATCCTCCAATGTGATTCCATGGTCAGCTTCCAGCAGAAGATCTAGACATTCTTAGAGAGCTATTGTCTCAGATAAGACAAAAGCTGATAATTTGCTCATCATTTTTCACTTTCTTGGAAGTTCTCTCCCCCTAATCTCAGTGAATGTGGAGGGCTAACTGTGTTAATAAAACATTGGAGAGCAATTTAGTATTTAAGGGACCTCCTTTACCAAAATAATGGTTATTTATGAGGCTATCAGAGAGCACATATATTCCAGATGTCTTCTTCAGCAATGAATTATGATAGATTGCAGATTATTCTGAAATATTTTTTCTGGATTTACTACAGCCTTGATTTTAAAAAAAACTCCTTGACATTACAGTGAGAATTTGATATTTTCTGTGGTTTGGTCCCAGGACCTTCAGACATACAAAAATCCTTGGATGCTCAAGTCCCATGATACACAATGGCTAGTTGTTAAAGGATGTCCCAGATATAAAGTGGCAAAATTAAAGTTCACTTTTTGCATCAAAAATAATAATTTAATGCTGTAGATGATTAAATCAATGGATGGAAAATCCATAGATTCAGAGAACAGAATATAAACAGAGCAGTATAATTCAACTTTAACTGCCTCATCAATATCTTAAAAAACCCTGGGATTTGCAGTTCAGGGAGAGAAACAAAGGGCCCTTCCACACAGCCATATAATCCAGAATAGTAAAGGTAAAGGCTTTCCCCTGACATTAAGTCCAGTCGTGTCTGACTGGGGGTTGGTGCTCATCTCCATATCTAATCCAAAGAGCTGGCATTGTCCGTAGACACCTCCAAGGTCACGTGGCCAGCATGACTGGATGGAGCCCCATTGCCTTCCCACTGGAGCGGTACCTATTGATCTACTCACATTTTCATGTTTTCAAACTGCTAGGTTGGCAGAAGCTGGAGCTAACAGCAGGAGCTCACCCCACTCCCCAGATTCAAACCTGTGACCTTTCGGTAAGCAAGTTTAGCAGCTTAGCAGTTTAACCCACCGCACCACCGGGAGCTCCATAACTCGGGATATCAAGACAGATAATCCACAATATCTGCTTTGAACTGGGTTATCTGCATCCACATTGCTATATAATCCAGTTCAATGTGGATTTTATACAGCTGTGTGGAAGGGACCCAAGAGACAGAGCTCAAGTGCCTCATCAAACGACAAATCCTTGGAGTACTCCTCATTCACTCATGGCAGTGAAAGCAGAATCATAGTACTAACTGTGTAGCATGAAAGGGCCCCAGGGAGATTCAGCATCCCTTCCACCTCTGCAGTTCTCAGCTCTGAGATTTCCATAAGTAAACTGAACTATCAGTGTGGTTTCCCTGAGGCAATCATTCTTAATCTCTGACAACACAGTTGATAGTAACATTTCAATGAACTGTTGCGATGGCCAAAGAAGGTACAGGTGATGAGCAAAAATGACTCACTTTTCTGCCCCCCAACATGGTGAGTCAGTGTGCGTCTGAACTGGAATAAAAAGGGCAAAGGGCTGAGTTTGCTCACTGTGGGATTATGGGTGCATCTGCACCGTAAAATTAATGCAGTTTAAAACCACTTTTACTGCCATGGCTCAGTGCTATGGATTTCTAGGAGCTGTAGTTTCGCAAGGTCTTCAGTCTTCTCTGCCAAAAAGAGTTGGTGCCTTACCAAACTACAACTCCTAAGATTCATCTTGGCATCACTTAAACTGCCATAGGTAAAGGTTTCCCCCTGATATCAAGTCTAGTTGTGTCCAACTCTGAGGGTTGGTGCTCATCTCCATTTCTAAGCCAAAGAGTTGGCGTTGTCCGCAGAGACCTCCAAGGTCATGTGGCCAGCATGACTGCATGGAGCATTGATACCTTCAAAGCAATACCTATTGATCTACTCGTATTTGCATGTTTTCGAACAGCTAGGTTGGCAGAAGATGGGGCTAACAGCAGGAGCTCATCCTGCTCCGCGAATTCCATAGTTCAACGCTATGGAATCATGTTGTAATTTCCCAAGTTCTTGAACCTTTTCTGCCCAAGAGGTGCCTCACCAAACTACAAATCCCATGATTCTGTAGTATCAAACCATGGCAGCTATCAAACTCCCGTACATTTCTTCTACATTATAGATGCACCCTATGTCTCCTTAGATGAGGAGAAGGAATCTGTTAAAAGTGTTAAATCTCATGGTGAACCTGCCTATGTGCGTGAATAACACCTTGAATCAGAAATGTGAAAGAGATCACATATACAGAATTTTAATCTATTTCTGATTATTTCTTTCAAAGTCCCAGAGGCAGCAAAGCAATAAATAAATATTATTTCCTTCCACTTTTTTCTTAAACAAGATCTGGAACAGATTGAACTGCATCATATTGTTAGTGTAGACTCATATAATGCAATTCAATGTGGTTCAGATGTATTATATGACTCTACACCAGGCATGGGCAAACTTGGGCCTTCCAGGTGTTTTGGACCAAAACACCTGGAGGGCCCAAGTTTGCCCATG